TTAAAGCATTGAAATTCATTTTATGCAGATTTAATCCAGGAGAACAGGGAGAGGAGAAGAAAGGGTACAGCACTCTAAGAAATTAGCCTATATTCTTACTTAATAAGGATACAAAACCCAAAATCCATAGTAACCACATCTCCACAAACATAAATGGATAGTCTTACATTTACTGCTTCCAGGAACAGTGACAGCCTACTTATAAATCCAGTAAGAGTAAAACACAGCAGCAACAAATATATTTAAAACAATTTTGACACTGATGATGAACTGTAATCCGGAGTTAGCAGCTGTCAAAATGATTCTTTTATTGTACTGTATGATTCAGCTACCACACAGTAAATCAAAATGTCACTGTCTGAGCAGGAAGCTCACAGACTCCAGCAATGCTAGTTAGTTTTGACTTACGTGAAAGGAGAAGCTTCTCTGGAATGATGTGGGTAGTTCAGGGTGGTAAGACATTGCTGATTCTAAAACCTGGTTATTTCTTTCTTGAATGCTTTCAGTGGATTTAACAGTTGAAACCTTTTATAGTTTTAAAATTATTTCATTGTTTACAGCTTAGGCAGTTTTTGTTTGGTTTACTTTTTATATCTGAGAGAGAGAATGTAGTGCTTATGAAGCGATGGAAACAGTCATAAGACAGAAGCATTTCGTAAGCCACATGTCAGACTCCTTGCCTGAACCCCTGCCAACTTTAAGGGCTCTTTTGAGAGCAGACTATTACACCTGACCCGGAAGGATGAGTTTCATGCATACAAATGGGATCTCTAAATGTACATACATACATCTGTAGAAAAATATGCAGAATTGGTTGGGTTTACAATACCAATAGCTATGATCCTTTCAGAATAAACCCGTTTCAAGGTATTTTGTTAGTGAGACACTATTTGCAGTCAGATGACAAATTATTAATTAGCCATTACTAGAATAATTTTCAGGATTCTTTTTCCATCTTGGTTCTTCAGACTGTTGGAACTCAAAACAGAATAGCTTTGTCTTCCTCAGTGTATGTATTTTGTCTGCCCTGTCTGAAGTAATGATTACATTGATTTATATATACTGTATGTTTGCAGGCCAGATGTTTGGAAAATGAGAATCATGGTGTTCTCAACAAAATAGTAGAAGGCAGTCTACGCTTAGGGAGACTGGAAGAAAAAGTTAAGGTAAGCAGTATTTCTAAGCTAAATATTACGTAAAACATTCTGTTTTTTTTAATGAGAAAAGTCAGAAGTTAATCTGTGTCAGGGTTGTAATGAAAGACATATGGATTATTTTATAAAACGTTTTTAAAAAGCAAAATAGATTATCATAATTTTCACAACTATCTTTTTTCATTGTATTTGTACATTGCATGTCTGCCAGGTTATTGCATTTACATCGTTACCTAGAGAATTATGACTAGTTGTAAAAAGAATTAAAAATTATACTTTATTTGTATTTCATTTTTGCTCTGTAGTGTAGCCCAATTATTCTCTCTCCTATTTTTTTGAGGCTGTACTAATGCTTCAACTTGAAGTCCATTACAACTAGATTTGGGAAAATGAAAAACAAACATCTCTTCAGTACAGTTATCCTCAAGTACTTTTGTATGGCCATAGGGTAGGAGGTTTAGAAATTCAGAGAACGTTCAGACATCTAGCCTAGTTAGAGAATACATTGTAGGTTATCTTTACAACTCTCTAAACAAATACAAAGCATAGTGCGTAACTGCAGTATCACGGTGAATAGTGTGAAATGCATTTGAAACTTTTATGTTTTAACATCTTTAATGTTACAGTAATTGCTTTTACTGTAAATTCAAAAAAGGAAGGAGAAGGATATCTGGCATATTGGTTTTTGTACACAGAAAGTAATATAAATTACTTTCAAAAGCTGTTTTGTACTAAGTCAAGTTTGTGCAGTTTACCCAAAAGCAGAGCCTCTCCATACATTGCACTTTTTCAGTTGAGACCTATGCTGGTATTCCTGCCTCAGATGACACAAATGTGCACCACTACGTTAATGGAGCCCAACTCCTTCTGCACTTTCCTTGTAAGGATCAACACAGCCCAGGAATTAGCAACAAAGAAAACAAACCAAATTACAGATGTAAAGAGAGAGCAATAAGCTGAAAAATAGCTAGAATTTGTAAGTAACCCTTCAGAAAAATACCTAAATGTATGAAACACTACCATAAAAGAATTCTCCAATTTTACTAATACAGCTATAAAAAGTTTTTAGCCATTTTTTCACCCTCATTTATGTCTATCTAAATTTAGAAAACATCTCCCTTACCAAGACAACAGCTTGAATTCTTAAATACAGATTTTCTGCAGTTTAATAGATCTGTGACTACTATAATGGATAGAGAAAAGAATTGCATAAAATTAAGAATATTTACACACAATACCTGCTGTGAATTTTAAGTACAAAACCTAATAAAATAAAAAAATCCTTCTTAACCCATCAACTGTTAATGGAAGTTAAAAAAACCAGCCTGTAAGTGTTCTTAAACATTGCTGTTTCTATTTAGCAAAAGTAAGACTAATCTACTTGCAAAACTTTTTGGTTCTTAATTTTTGTCAGTAAAGCAGGGGGCTTAAACAGTCCCAAAACACATTAAAATATATACTTCTTGGTTATTGTATTAGTTGAACTTTGCTAAAGGGTAGTATCATTTATTTCTTTGCTGAAAACACCTCAATTTCTTAAACACCTCCAGTCAGGTAATCCACTTTTCTAAATAGAAGCTTTATTAATTTGATCTCTGAGGTGGCTTGTGGAAAGTTATGGGGATTCTTTTGTTTTACCTATAAAAGTATTTTCTTAAGTCTAAACCCATTGTCAATTTTTTAGTTTGGTTCTTTGTCACAAGACTTTTTTCAATCCCAATATGTGATGCAGTTCCTCAAACTGAACAGGCCATATTGCGCACACTGCTTTTTCAGGTGCTGCTGATAAAAATGCAGGTGAATGTGGAAAGGCAAAAGGATTCTTCGCTTGGAAGATGTATGTTTGCCTCCACAGTTCATGCACAATTCTAACAGCCATGAAACGTGAACAGTAGCTTACTTTAAGGTTACACATTTCCTGCTTAGTTGAATGAGATAAGTTGGAGGTCTCACCAGTCTGGTTATATCAGCTTGGGGAATACTTCTGTCAGCTGCTTCAGGAAATCACAGATTGGGTAACTGCCCTGTATGTCACGTTACAGGATAAATCTCTTATGAGGTATTTAGGCGTAATCTGTTTCCAGCAAGAATAGGATTTAAAATGCATTTATTTTTCTGAAAGGGTGGTGTAGCTATTGGTAATGTGAGTGCCATGCTATTTCTTACCTTAAGAAATTTCTTTTAAAAGTGTTTTGCATTGGTTTTTAGCCATCTTTAGCTATTTCAGTGAGATATAGGATAAGAAATACAAATTATATTATATGAATTAGAGCACACATTCCTCACGTTATGACAAGAGAAAAAGCTTCTAGCCTATAGGTTTCAGTTACTTACAAGTGCCTACAATGTGAGTCTGTATTCTCTACTTTTTAGACATAACCAAGTATTTTACATTTACCTTTTGATGAATTCGTTGCCCTATATCTCAGCAGGCACAAGCTCATCCAAAACTACGTTACAGGCCAGACATACCCTGTGTGTGTCAAAAGATTCTCTGGGGCTTCTTTCCCATCGCTGCAAATGTTATTTGAGGGAAGGAAAAAAGGAAGGTTAGGTGGGACAGCAGTTCTTCACTGGAAGCACAACCTTATGGACAGTGGCTGTTCAAAAGCTAGCAATTCCATTCCCTTTAGATCGCTTCTCTCTGAAGACAGGTCATTTGTGCTTTGCACATAAAAGTGGATCTGGTCTTCTGGTCCAGAGTTCTTCCTTCTAATGAATTCTTTTGGAGAAAGTAAATTAACAAAAATCCTGTGGTTTTTGTTTTTCATTGAGAAGTCTCAAAATAAATCAAGATCTGGTAGATCTGTTATTAAACGCAGAATCGCTATGAAAGTCTTTAAAGCTAAATAACAGGTTATTGCTAAAATAAACCCCAAACTCATGTCAATATTTATACACACAGCTTTATTACATATTTTTAAACTGTGTATGCCTCGTTTAAGTAGCAAATTAAAAATTATTCTCTTTTATAAATACACATTTTTAGGTTGGAATTTAGCAGTTACTGTAAACAAACTATAAAGTCATTCACTGTGCAAAAAATTTTGTAGGTTATCAGTACAACCATATGAAATTTAGAAAATAACAGTAGAGCACTATCAAATAGGTTGAATACAAATATTCAGAAAAAGAAATATTTTTTGCGCAGGAGCTATATTAAGGGAACAAAATTTACTTTGTTTTTTCTTAATTCTGAAAGCAAATTAGGTTCATTCCTACTTTTATATATTTTGGCTTATGTAAGATAATTTTTCAGACATATTGAATAATGAAAAATATTAAAGCTCACTTAAAAAAGATTCTTTAGTTGGCCCTTTAAGATTCAACTACAAGCTTCTTTGTCATAATACTAATAAATCAAAACTTTTCTGAAAAATCTGATTGTAGAGCAGAATATTTAATGCAACTTTATTTCCATTTGACATCAGAAGAGATTTGAACTTTTTTTTAAAAAGTGATAACCATACACAGAGCATTTCTGATCTCCACCTGTTTTTAAAAACAGTGACAATGTATTCGATAAAAACAGGCTGTTTGTTTTTTTGTCTTTTTTTAAACAATAAATAACCTTCAAATATCTGTTCTATTCACAGTTCATGAGATGGTGGTCTAAAACCATTTGTAACTTCAGAATCAGGTGATAGTAACCACCATCATTTTAGTAAAAGAAAAACCACAACAATACCATGTTGTCATTTTGCCAGTATTCACACAAGTTATTGGGCTTTAACAAAAATACATGTATGTCATACTATACGCATTTAACTGTCCATAAAGGTTAAAGTTTGCGGTCAAGTTGTTATAGTTCAGCTAAAAAATTACCAATTGATAAAACACCGTGTATCAGCTTTGTGAAGAGTAGTCACAAATTCCATTGCAGAGGCACTGGCAGAAGCTGTACAGGAGACGTATGGTTAGACTGGAGGGAACAAAACTCATACAAACAACACCTAGGGTCACTTTCTGAATCACTAGTAAATAGATCCCAAGAGGGAGCGAACCAAAGTAAAGAAATCCAAGCAGCCATACCAGTGTGCTGGGTACATGCTTGCATAGCTTTGAAAAGAGATCTTGGTCCAGCCAACTCCGAGAACTTAGAGATACTGACTCAGTGCCACGATCAGCATAATAATCCGATGCAGTACTTTGACTGGGAACTCTTGGGGAGTCTGTTTGTACTTCCATAATTGTAATTACTAAGCAGTTTGATGATCCACGGGAAAAACTTGAGGAAACCAAGTTTTTTGGTGTTAAAACTACTTCTTTACAGTCAGAATTCCATGTTGTTTTGTCTTTTACTATGAGCTTGGACATAATGTTTGTGTCATTGGGGAGTCCTTCAACTTTGTCTTCATGCAACTCTGTTTCACGGCGGCAAAAGGGACAGCTAACACAGAGAGGCCCATCTCTTATATGAAGTATTTTAGTCAAACATCTAGCACAAATTCTGTGAAGGCAATCCAAGATTTTGGGTTTACGACTGTGAACAGTAAATTTCCGGTAACATATTTTACACTCCAGTTCATCATTGGGCAACTTTTCCTCTCCCTCGGTACAGGTGTAATTCATCTTTAAATTAGACACACTGTTAAAAAGAAGTAGGCAGATTATAACAAGTTGTTTCATGGATGCTGAGTTTCTATCTGATAATAATTTTGCCAATCATAAGATTTTAGTAAAAATAGGTAGAAACAACCTTTATACTGAAGATACCTAGCATCTCCCGCTGTAACCCCTCATTTTCATGCAACTTTACCAAACAGGCTGGCCTTAACTTTTTTCCTACAATTTTGCTACATATTGCATGTGCAGCACAAAATTGTTATTGGTGAAGAAAAGGCAATAAAGGTTTGTTCTTAACACTTTCTGAACATTGAGGAACTGTGTATTTCAGAAAAGCCTGTAACAATTGCATAGCTTACTCTCTGTAGTCCTGTAAAGCAGTTGCACATTTGAATGAAACAAGGCTGCTTCTCCACCAAGTTCCTATCAACATTAATCTGGACTTAGGGAAAGGTGCTTTGGGTCTAATAGCAGGAGACCATGAATTTAAAAGTCTCACTGTGCATGTGACACTTCTGTCCAGAGAGTCTTCTACTTTGTTAGAATTTAATTTTTTCTATTTCATAGAATCATA